CAGCGCCTAAATGACTCCCGGTGTTAAGACAGCATTTGGCAGCAGCAGCAGAGAAGAGGAGGACGGAGGTGAGTAAGTTGTGGCCTGCCTGGGGTCTGGAGTCAGAGCCACGACGTCCACAGGGATCTCCCAGCCGGCGGACAGCGCAGGAGGGAACGTTCGCGCCAGTACCAAGAATGCCGACGCGGATATGACGGCAGCCGCGCGCTTCTTGACGGCCAGGCCGACCGCACACTCGTCCTCATGCAGCGCCAGTTTTGGCAATGCAGTCTGGTCTGCTTTGTCTGCGTTTGCGCAACTTCTTACTTTGGGCTCGAGATTTGCAGAGATGTGCAGTAAGAAAAGATCTATTTCGTGACATTCTTGTGTATGCCTTTAGGCCCCAGAGAACATGATAAACACAAGGTGTGGCATCAAAGTGCAGAGCAGTGCAGTGCAGAGCAAGCGGCAATACTTAAAGACAGGCCTGGCAGAAAATGAAGATGTGATCGAGGAACATGGAGCTGCTGTCTCATTAAAGGGGTGCTGTAAGCCATATGCCTGGTCCTACAGTGGGACGATATTGTACCAGCAAAAGACTACTCTTCTTGATGCCCAAAATGAAGACACCAGGAAGATGCCAGCTGCTGATACTATAACGTTCCAGCTGGACAGAGCAGAATGTATCATTTGAGGTTGAAGGAAAAAGACAAATTTGAAGCTTGGTTGTGTACCTTGTTGTAAGCTGGGCAGTACGTCAAGCTTGCATCATTATAGACAGGACTGTGCAAAACATTTCAAAGAGCATTGCAGCGTTTTTGCTGACCTGATTGCGTGGTTGCCACCTCGGCAGAGGACTGCTGCGGCGCTTGGCGCAGGTAGGGGTGATCGAGATTGATGTACAGGTTGCCAGGGGGCGGCGTGAAAGCGGCAGGGGTGCCTGAAGTGTGCGCTGTGCTGAGGTGGACCATGGCCGGCTCTGTTTTCTGAGGCGTGACCTCCGCCAGGCCCAGCAACCTCTTCAGGCACCACAGCCGTGGCAGCTGCCGCACAGCTTCCCGCTTGGCTGCCATATGTCCCTGCACACCGCGATGAGAGCATTAAAGTGCATATCCAAGCTGCACCGCTTTGGACCTAGAGAGTCCATACATTCCATGGGAGCATGATAGGAGAGCTGTACCACCTCTGATCCCAGAGGCCAGCAGCGAACACCTGTCACTCTAGTAATTGGCAGTTGCCCGCTCCACACCTACGAGACGAGATGAGAGTATCTACAAAAACCTTAGCAGCTATTTCAGGATGCTTACATATGTGCTGATGGGTTTAGAACCCCTATAATTACCCGCCACTGCCATTCACCGGCCGCTGTGCTGTCTTCAAGCCTAAAAGAAATCAAGAATGAGCGAGAGAAGTTGTCACCTGCAGTTGGGCATTGGCTCGGGGATCCATGTAGTTGTATGTGGCGGCGGCGTCGGCCGGCACAGTCCACATGGCCTTCAGGAAGAGCTGCTGCTCCTCAGCAACGCGCCGGCCAAGGTCTGCCAGTCGCTCGGCTTCCTTCCCCTGCAGGGCCCTGCCTGCGCAACAGCATAACTCCCTCCCATCAGCAGTAGCCAAGGACTCTAAATCAACGATTTTGGTACAAGTCGATCTGGCAGGGGTCCCAGGGAACTTGGTGAGTTTACCTCCCCTCCCCTTTGACGTAGAGTCCCCTGACGGACTTCCCCAACCTGATTTCTTGCCTATACTGCACTGTTGGAAATCACTGTGACGCAACACACCATGCACGTTCATCCGGTAGTACTGGATATTGGTACGCAAGCAGCCACCAAACAAGAAATTTAATGGCTACCCAAGGCTGGAAAGGCGTGACAGCCAGAGAGGAATGCCTTTACAGCTTTCAAGAGCCTGAAGCATATACATCCAGCTCGCCCAGAAATTCCTGCCTAAGGTAGCTGTAGCTTTTTGCAATCTGGTGCTGGGGCGATTGCATCGGAAAGAGATGTTGAAGGATTTGTTATTACCTAGATTTTCCAGGTACCATGCGTGGTCTCTGGCCGACAGCTTGGACCAGACTTGGCGCGGGCCCCGCTTCTTAAACCCCTTGCCCTCCGCCTTCCCGGCACCATCTCTATGAGAACACACACAACAACATCATCAAAAAAATGTTCATGTCCCTTCCTGAGACATGAGAAAAACACCACTTCAAGGCATGCATGGCAAACAACTTTGCCTGCACGCATATCCACATTCATCTTGCAGCATGGATGTTCTACGATTTGCATCAAGTCAGGCTCTTCAGATAACTTTGTTGAAATTGGTTCCAGGTGCCTCGCAGTTACAGTAGCTAGCCTGAGCACAGTGCCACAACAGCAGAGACCAGAGCAGCTCACCTGATCTGCGCATATTCCAGGGCGAAGGCAGGGTCATAGAGGGGGTTGTTGGGGTTGAGCATGTCACACATGCTGCCGTCCTTTGCAGCAGCAGCAGCAGCCCCCTTAGCTTCCGCTGCGCTGGGATGCTGTCCCGCTGCGTTCCCTGCTGCGTGTGTCACGCCAGGTGGACAGCCAATTGGCGCATCACCCTCTGCTGTGCCATGGTCAGCTGGTTCTGCTCCCACTGCAGCCTCAGCTGCACCGGTAGCAATAGCTTGTCTCCTGATACTTGCCACGCTTAGTGCTGCATGCGCTGAGTCAGCCGCTATGGCATTGCGCGGCGTTGCCTGAACGGCAACTGCAGATGCCGGACGCCGGCGGCCGGCGTCGGCTGACTCAGCTGCCACGTCAGCCGCCAGGTCACCGTGGCCAGACGCCGGCACATGCCGGTTGGAAGCAGCAACCCCTGGTCTCGGCGCTTGCGGCGGTTCCTCATCTTGTCCCCGCCGCCGGTTTGCAGCAGAGCCTGATTTAGGTCCTCGCATTGCAGCCGGCTTTGGGAGAGCTGCCGGGCCTTGTCTGCCGGCCGGTGCTAGTGCTTTGCTGAGCGCGGCAGCAGCACGATTCCTGCCGAGGCCCCCGAACGCCCGCATGATCTCTGCGTTGGCTGCTGCAACATCCGTCAGAGGCTCTGGCGCGGCAGCCGCAGCGCTGTCGGCCGCAGTTAGCCTCCTCCCTCGCCCATCTGCGCCACTCGCTGGAGCAGGCTCTTTGGCTGTACGTGCCCTCTGCTTCCCTGCCTTTGCTGGTGATCTCCTTGCCACGGCGGGCTCATCAGTTAGCGGCTGTCCTGGCTGCTCCAGGCTGTCTGCAGGATCCCTTGAATATCCTGCAGGTGCTTCTGACTCCTCCAAGTGGCCTGCAGGCAGACCTGCTTTCCTTGCAGGCCGCTGTCGTCTTCCTGCACGTTGCTGCTTCAGACCATCTGCCTTTGCTCCCTTGGCTGTGCCTTTTTCTGGTACCTCCGATTGTGAGCGCCGCCTCTTCTTGGGTGGACTGTTGTCTTCGCCCTCGTCCAGATCAGTCTCCTGCCCACCTGCAGCAGGTGGCAAGAGGCCATCTCCTCACTTTCACTCCCTCACAGGTACATTAGTGCTTTCATGCCTAACAGATACAGGTCCATCAACACAGCATACCCTGCTTCTGACCAGGAGTATCACTTTAAGGCAGGTGCTGTGAAAAGGACAAATGCATGGCGGCCCAGGAAAAGCTTGCCTCGAGCGGCGCTAGTATGCAGCTGTTGCGCGGCGTTGTCACCCCCACCGCCCTCAGAGTCCCCATCACTGCCCCAGAGGTCCTCGCTGGTGATGCCCGGATCGTCGCGTGCCTCATCTGGCAGCTCCGCTGACTCTCCGCCGTTGCTGTATTCTTCCACATGGGGTGATCCCATGTCATCCATAGCGTGGGCCCCCTCATCCAGCCTGCTGCTTCCAGCTTCAGAGGAAGCTGCATCCCCATTCTCCTCGCCAGTATCTTCCTCACTGGGCTGCTGTGGGTTGACTAAGGAATTTTCCTCTTCAAGCCTTCCATCTGCGCCATCAGAATCTGGCTCTGCATCCGAGGAGGTGGCTGCTTCTGCGCTGCTGCTGCTGTCAGGCTGCTCTTCCCGAGACGCCCGCCCGGATGACCCATCCTCGTCCTCATGCTGCTGTGGCAGAGGTTGGAAATGCTCGGGCAGGTGTCTGGCCAAGGCAGGGACACCAGGCAGGTCAACATCCTCCTGCAAAACAATAAGGGCTGTGAGCTGGAGTTTGCGTGTTCTGTGCTGTGTACACCACGCTCTGAAACGCAAAGACTCGAAAGCACAGCTTAGAGCAGGGTCTGCACTGGGGTGCACTGACACAAGTCTGCAGCAGGGTGAACTGAGAAAGGTGCTTCTCTCACCTGTTGATGGCCCAGGCAAGAGTACTTCTCAAAGGCAGCCTTCGTGAAGTATATGCCAGGCGGCGGAAGGTCGCGGATGGGCCTGCAAGACACCTTCGATGGACTTCCGGCCTCTTTATTGTATCAGCACGATGCAAAGGGCCGGGGATCAAGCTAGATCTGAAGGTGCCAGAGCAACTATTTCAAGTGGAAAGGGCAGCGCGCACGAGAATTGAAGCCTTATGACGTCCGAAACCATTAAGGTCTCACATCGCACGCTTGAATGCTTATGCGTTCTTCATTGCGCTTGTGCGAGTGGAAGAATCCCCATCGCTTTGCCTAGAAGGCCATAAGTGGAGCCATGAACGTGTGCATGTGCTCTTAATTTCTTTACAGCAAGTACACATCCCTATCTTAAGAGCGTTATCGATGTAAGTGATGCGGGATGCAGGAAGGTGAGCTTGTGCTTCGTATGTTCAAGACAAGTTTCCTTAAATGCGAGGACACATTCACATCAGGTGCACGCCAAAGATAGCAACATGTGATATTGAAGATGAGATGAGCACATGATTGTGATGTTTGGAAGAAGAAGCCAGTACTGATAAGCCAGGCTTGATGAGTCACCAACTTTTGTGCCTGGGTTGAACCCCTTGCCTCTGTGCATGCAAGTGGTACTCATGTCACAGGTGGTGCACAATTGCAGATTGATTTGTCTTGGTCCAGTAAAGACTATGAAAGCGAATTACAAGAAGCTCAAACGACCTGTGCCACAAACCAAGCACATGACTGTATTCTACAAGACACCTGACAAAACGTCTACGGTAGCGCTATCTAAAGGGATACCCCGCAATCGGCAGGGCCAATGAATGCGTTCAAAATGGTTCTGTTTGGTTCATCTGACTTCTGTTCAGCACTGCACGATTCTAAGGCAATTGGCGGCCTCTGCTCTGGGGGCAGCGCTGCTCACTGCACCCCACTGAGTGCTGGTTTCAAGTGCAGACCTTGTTGATGCCCTTGGGCCCCTTAGCGTAGGTGCACTTCACGGGAGGAGGGCCAGCCTTGCTGCCACCTGCAGGCACACAGCAAACGTGATCAAGCTGCAATCCAGCGCAGGTGGAGCGATCTGACTTGACTACTTGCATCACCACAGTAGCGCTCCTCATGCCGAATGATTGAAGGTCTCGTCCTATATCTTAGCATTTTCCGCAATCCAAGCAGAATAGGATATGCCCTGGCAACAATAAATGTAATGCCTCCTCCGTAGGCTCCCTACAGGCTTTCCAGAACTGGACTCCAAGATGATTGATTGGCAACAGCTGTGACTTGCACAGTAGCAGACAGATCGAGCGAAGACGCACCGTCAGACGCGAGCTTGCGGCCGAGATTGACGAAGGGGAGGATATTTGGGAGAGCAGCGACGTTGTCGCCTGCAGCACCGGAAACATCCACCCGGTTAGTCCACTGGGCAAAGCACTGAAAAGGCTAAACACGACAGGTGACTCGGGATATGTGGAACGATGTCAGCTTTACTAGATCACAAATCAACGAAAGCAATTCATGGCGGGCTTGGGTGAATAGCTAGTTCGGTGTGAGGCGCTGTTGTATGACTGCGGCATCTAGGTGTTATACCGACTGCCCATCGTTCCAGGAAGCAAGTCTCACCCTCGACGGTGTTGGCGGTGGCGGTGGCGGTCGCGCTGCTGGCCAGCAGGGCGATGGCAAACAGGAGGCACACGGCCACACGAGTTTTGGAAGCCATCGTATCGGAAGCCTGCTCACACGACGCACAGGAATACAGCAATCAGACCCGCCTTTGCTACTCTATGTGTACATCGTGGTTGGCTAAAGCAAAACAGAAGCACCCACTTGCAGACAAGTCTAAGAAGCAACACGGGGACTACATTCGGAGGAAGGATCCCAACTGGCCGTTGCGGCCCTGCCCCCTAGCAGTGCCCTTTTCTAAATGCATCAGTTCCTAGCATTGCTGCGTGGTGCTCATAACTTAAAACTATTCTCTATATCTTCAACAATCTCTCCGAACGCACAATCGCCCAGAGCCCGCACCACTGGGGCGTCTCAGTGCACTATGCAACTGCACACCAAACGCTAGCAGATGTGAAAGGATGTCTCACCTGTGAACTTGGGAGGGCAAGAAAGCTTTGATGGCTTGAAAACTTTGAAGCTTGCGGGAGCAGAAAATTTAGTTTTTGATCTCGAAGGCCTGCTGCCGGAGCTTTTGTCCTTGGAGGAATCCTACCACCGCTGGGCAGTGTCTAATCCCGGGAAGATGCCTTCGAAGCCAAAACTGGCAGCAGAGGTCCGTAGTCCACGTCAAGACACCGTAAGCGCTGAGTCGGATCATCCAAGTCACAAAGCGTGTCCAGATCATCTCGAGGAGGCTCCAGGTCATTCACCTTGTCCGCAACCTCTCGCATAGGACAGTTCTGCTAATATTGCAATCCAGGAATCTCTGTGAGACTGCCGCTGTCTGTCCTGGAGTGCCGCTGAGGCTGCCGCGCACCACAAGAGCGCCTGCACCATCCCTGTGGCCTTGTCCTCTCCTGCCGCTGCAGCAATTCCCCCACGTTCCAGCGTGATGGAGAAGCAGGTGAGGCTTGAGAAGGCATTGATGACTGATGCTTGTGTGTGTCAGCTTTCGAGGCTGCGAGGGGCCCGGGAGTTGACCTGCAGCTGGTGCCGACGTTGCACCCATTCCCTCACGCCTCGTATTGCTGAAGTGGCTGTGCTGCCGTGCAGAGCTCCCCGAACGCGGTGTTCAAGGAGTTCCTGACCAGCGGCCTGTCCGTGTCGGCTGCCAACGTGTGTACTAACCCCATAGGTGCGGGGCTACCGCCAAGCAATCCCACCAGCTTCCCAGGCGCTCCGGGCGTCCCCACACGGATCGATGCTTGCTGAATTTGTTCAATTCGATTGATACTGTCTTGTCAATGTGTGTGCACGAGTGTGTGGCGCCGAGATGCCTGGCTCTTGGCGATTATAGAGCCTCCTGGCTGACTGGGATGCCCCTGTCCTGCAGATGTGGTGAAGGTGCGGATGCAGTTGCAGTCCATGCAGCTGGCGGGCAACGGCAGACTGATCGCGCCCAGCCTGGTGAGTTTTAATGTGGTGCTTTCAATCTGCTGTGAAGATGCTCATGGTACCTTGTGATATTGTGGACCGGGATGGAAGTTACTACATCATCGCCCATACAAGGCCTCCAGGGGCACTAATTTATTGTTGCTATTGGCAAGAATGAAACAGCGAGTGAAGAAATAGGAGCTCTGCTGCAAGGCCTGATGTAAGCCCTGTTACATTCTGCAGCTGCAAACCGGCGTCACTGTGGTGCAACATGAGGGCTATGCTGCGCTGATGAGTGGTGTCAGCGCTACCGTGGCGCGCGGCCTCTTCTACGGAGGTGAGAGAGATCTGCCCTTCCGCTGGCAGTATCTTTGCCTTTGTTGCTCACAATCCAGTTGACCGCAGATGTTCCACACTGAGTGCAGAGGTCAGAGGTCTTGGAAGCAACGCACCCACCCAGTCTTTTATATAGGTATGCAAAGAGAGGGAGACGGCGCTGCATTGGAAGGGGTGTGGGGCTGGAGAGCAACTCAATAAGTTGCTCTGCAGCCAAACCATAATTCTGATGGAGACATCAGTGGCCCTGAGTATGGCCAACCATACTTGTGCGGCCACATGACTAGTGCATGCCGGCACATGCAGGCCTGCGCCTGGGCATGTACGCACCGCTGAAGACAGCCTTTGGCGCGGACACGGACCCGACAATTCTCAAGAAGGTGGCGGCCGGATCAGCCAGCGGCGCGATTGCGACGCTCATCACCAACCCCATCGAGCTGCTGAAGACGCGACTGCAGTCCTGCTCCACCATGGGGCCCCTGCAGGTCATCAAGAAGGTCGTCAAGCAGGACGGTGTCAGCGGCCTCTGGAAGGGCACCATGCCCTCTGCGGTGAGGCCCTGATACTCATGTCTTGGATTATCTAGTTGATAAGCGTTGTCTCTGTTGTGAGATCACATATTCATCAGCCGGTGCATGCGCGCACTGCTGGAATGAGAAGTTGATGTGTGCAACGTGCATTGTCATGATGCATGTGATGCCCTTGCAATGTTGAATGCAAGGACTGCTCACTCCAGCAGGCGCACGGCAATGCCGCTTTGCGCCTGACGATTACAGGGCCTGACCTGCAAGGACCCTGGTGCAGGATCTAGATTGTAGTTTTGAGCTAGCGTGATGAACGTGCCTCCATGACGTGTGCAGGTGCGCGGAACTCTCCTGACCGCCTCCCAGTGCGCAACCTATGATGACACCAAGCGGCTGTGGATGCGCACCACTGGCTGGAGGGACGGCCTGGGCACGCACGTGGGCGTCTCCATGATCACAGGTGGGCACATGCCTCCTTCTGTCCAGGATTGGTTCTGAAGCTTGCCATGGAGTATGTTTTAGGGCATTACGCAGCCTGGATATTGGGTTTCTTGGTTCTCACGCAGTGACAGTACCATCTCCCATGACATTAGTATCTTGTGTGGTTGGCATTTCCCGTCATTTTGCCTTACAATGTTCTGAGAGCTGGTGCACTCATTTAGGTTCATCCATGCGTGACTGAGTGCACAGGATTCAATTCAAGAAGAAGTGAAAGCCATCTGATTGAAACAGTTCACTGAGGGGATCAATTGCTGCGCACAGGGCTGGCGGCGACGACGATCACGCAGCCGGTTGACATGGTGAAGACGCACATGTACTGCAATGGCAGCAAGTACGCCAACCCGCTCTCCTGCGCGGCCGACCTGTTTGCGCGGGAGGGCGCGCGCGGCTTCTTCAAGGGATGGACGGCCAACTATGCGCGCCTGGGGCCCCAGACCACGCTCATGTTTGTCTTCCTGGAGAACATGCGCCACGTCACCGGCATGAAGGCCTTGTAGTCTGCGCCGCAGCCCTGCCGCACCTTACTGCTGTCATGGGATGACCATGCGTCATGTCACCCGTTTGCATGCCTTCTGTTTTCCACAGCCCGGCAGCCCTGAGTGACTTTTGCAAGATGAACATGCGGCATGCGGTAGGCATGAGGGTGTTGTAGCTAGTGCTGCCGCACGCCTGAGTGCTGCCACAATAATTGAGGAAAGCTGTTCACTCTTGGCGGTAAAGCATGCTGTACTGCTGCTGGGCAATGAGTGGCTGGGGATGGCGGTGAGGGGAGGTTGGGGCATTTTGTGGTCGCAGTTTTGGGAGGAATGTAGGAGTCAGATGCTGGTGTGCCCAGCACATCAATATTGCTTTGTAGAGGGGGGCAGAGCTAGAAGGTTCCAGCGCCTTAGGCCGGCCTCACTCTGCTTCCTTTCTACACTTGTACAGTCTAGAGGACAACGGTAAATTTTGGGAGCACTAGTATATGCTTAAAAGAACCGCTGGCACTACCCTGTGAGCACTGCAGGCCATTTTTGACAGCAGCAACTGCAGGACATTCTTCTTTAGCGCGCAGCAGGAGCGCGTGAGTTTAGGATGTAGAGCCGATTTTGGTAGCACCCAATGGCTCATAAGTGCCAGTTTTGTCAGGGCCTCGACAATGCCAGCGCTTGCTAGGACTCGCATCTCTTAAAAGTAGCGCGCTCATTGCGCACAGCCAGTATTCCATTTTGCATCCAAACCAGACCCAGGTGCTGTATTCGTGTGAGTCTGCTATTCGTCAATTTTGAACGCGTTAGGCCGCGTATTTGGTGCGTGTAGGCTGTCTGTATATCTAGGTTGGGTGCTCTTCAGGAGAGTTGCTTCGCCCCCTCAACGGGGGCATAGCTTGCCACAAGTGCACAGGCTCTTGGGCTTTTGTGTTTATGGTGTATTGAGGTGCCAAGATGGCGTAGTCATGATTTGACAGGTGATTTGGAGCTGCTTTGCAAGCAGCGTTCTTCAGGCAGTCTTTGATTTGTAACATCGCCACGTAGCCGTGCCAGGAGCGGCAGTTTTGACGGCGATTTGGTGTTAGGACGCATTCTCTGTCAGTATTGACTTGCTAGAAATGATATAGGGAGACAGGACCAAGACAGCAGAATGCAGGATCTGTCATGCAAAGCTTTGAGGGCGGCCTTAGGACTCTGGTGGCCATTGCGCACGCTGTTCCAAGACTGTGCAATCGCAGAGGTATCTAGATGCGTATTTTTGGGACAGAAGTACGTACCTGTGAGGTATAATCATATTGGAGGACTGATGAGCACCACCTCGGTGTAAAGTCACTCTAGTTCATAAGCTGAAGCATTATGGTCACACACTGATCATCAAAGTGTTGACGTCAACCGTTGTGACATCAACTTGACGTGATCACGGCGGCTATCGTGATTGATCATGATGCCATATGGTGCATCTCAGGCTGCAGATATCGATACGCAGCATTGCATGCGCTCATATTATTTGGCATTGCATGGATTTTCAATTTCAGTGTCCGCAGCGCAGATTGCGAACCTTGTAGATCAGAACAGCCTCCCAGTTTACTCCACATGGTGGTTCAGCCTCTGAGAGTGAAGCTACAACCTAATCTGGCCGAGTTCAAACCATCCAACAACAGCCCTGCGGCCTGCAGGTGCTACAGCATTCTTGGAAAACTCGTCAGGTCTACCAATTGGTTGCTGCATGATGATAGCTGATTTTATAGACACCAGGTGTAGCGTGGAGTGTCAGTGCCAGTAGTTTATTTGAGTCCTGACAACAAGCTTCAACTCCCCATGGACTCGCTGCGTGCTGCCAGCGACCGTGTGGTGATCTGCTTGGAGAAAGCTGAGGCTGATCTCAAAGCTGTGGAACACCGACTGGAGGAGGAATTTCAACAGACGTATGCAGGAAAGGGGGTGAGCAGAATCTGCGGAATCTTGAGATTTCTGTCTAAGGATGTGTTACTTTCAAAAGGTCCTGCATAAGCTGAGATCCTAGCTGTGATGACATCAAGTGCTTTGTGTCTTTTCTGCAGGCAAATCCTCTTTCGGTGTTGCAAAGGTTGAAGAAGCTTGAGAGGTGAGCCAGTCATCCAGGAAGCATAGTCTGATTACTGTGGCTATGCTCTTGCCTTCAGCAGGCAGCTGTGACACACTCATGAGGTTTTAAGGAAGGCCTTTATTTGTTTTGTGCTTGTTTCGAGCGCAATTTTGAGCGCAATTTCGAGCGCATGCCCTCTTACAAGGATATAAATCATCAGACGGACTCATACTGCAGGGAACTGCCTCGTGTCAGGGACGAGTGCTGCGCTGTCTTGCAGACAAAGCAGGTGAGACAGGGCACGCCCTTCTGCCATGCCAGAGAGTAGTTTGACAAGGCTGTTCCTCTTAGCTACTACTTGCAGACAACTGGTATCCATTGTGGAAAGGCAGGTAGGGGGTGAGAGCTCAAGATGCGCTCAATGCTGCTGGCTGTGCAGGAGTTGGTAGAGAAGGCAAATCGCCAGATGTCAGCCACAAGGGAGCTGTTGGAGCAGCTGCAGAGCAGAGCAGGACTGCCTGTGGCTTCAGCAGATGCTGAAGAGGACCCCTTCCAGGGCTTCAGGGCAGCAGCTGCAGGCTGCCAGGCCAGAATGGTCCTCCTGCACTAAAGTGCGCCCTCCCACAGACTTTGATTGCCATGATATTATACCCGCCTTAGAGGCAAGATGCGTCTGCAGACAAGCTGGCCCCTCCCACAGCCCCTGGTACAGGATGGCTTGCCTGCAGCTGCTGCATGTGAGATTATCATGCACCCAGTTGAGACCGCCGTTTAGCGACCCTACCGCATTTTGCACCAAAGGAGCACCTCTGACGTATCTTGCCGTAATCTGGAATTCAGAGGGAACAAGAGCTTCCCTGGCCTGTTGCACGTTGATGTCAACAGCTATTGGCCAATTTGGCTGCAGGTGCAGCGCAGACCAAGTGGTTGGTCAGATGCAAGCCTCAGAGCGGTTGCACAGAGGACTCCGGCAGCTTACCACTGACAAAGGACACTAGATCGAGGCAAAGAACAGCCTGATCAAGTGCGTGGCGTCTCAAACAGGAAGCAATATGCACAGAGGGAGCTTGAGATGGCTGGTGATATGAGCAAAGTGATTTAAATCAGGGCCAATTGGCATTCATTGCACCAAAGGTGAAAGTAAGCAGTTGTACAACACTATTGTGCATGCAAAGCAATGAACCTGGCTCCAGGGTTTGACAGGGGTCCTAGAAGATCTCAGGCCAGCCTCTAAATAGGGCAAGGGCAGGCAGGGGCTTCGCCCCCGCCTGCTGCCCTGATAGTAGCTGCCAGCTTCAGTAAAACTTCGGGGCATCCCTGAGGTTCCCAAAATATTTCAACAGGGAGATGCAGGTTTTCCCTTGAATTTGGCCTCCAAGTGGTTCAAAATGCCTGAAAGTCTGGGGTGCCCCTGAGTCACAGCCAAGTAGCTTCGGGGCGTTGTCCTGATGCCATTTTGCCAAATCTGTATATTTCTGGGGTTGCCCTGAAATGTCACCCCTAGCCCTGAAGTAGGTTGGCCAATCCCTTGGGGGGCCCTTGGGGGCTGTCAAACCCTGCCTGGCTCTTTTGACTTGCTGGCAGTCTGAAGTTCAGACGTTGACCCTTACATGATCAGGATCGATCCGGATTCTTACTTACGGATGTAAACACTCATGCTAAGTGGGACTTTACTAGCCATTTGACTGCTGGATTCATCAAGGGATCCCCACTGCAGTTTGGTGGTCATGTAATCTGAGCCTCTCAACACGCTCACAAACATACCGGCAACAATTGACCTTGACAACATGTTCAACTCTCACATCAACATTCATGAATCAAGGAACCCGCAAGAACGCACGCAATGGCCAGAAGAATGTTCCCTTGAAAACCTGACTGACATCAGAAGCTTCACACAACGGTAGCATATGTTTCAGAAATGGTCAGTCATAGAACTTCTGTAGTATCTATCTGTCCATGCTGCACCTCCTATAGCCCATATTTGAAATGCAAGCCTAGACGAGGAAGTCATGTCTCTACTTTGCCGCTCGCTGGATGTAGTCCGTCAGCTGTTTAGATAAACTTTTAAACTCGTTTGTTTTGGCAAAGGACGGATCCTTCCTGGCAGCTGCCTCCAGGGCCTCCCCAGCTTCCTTATACCTCCCCAGCGCCGCATACGCTTCCACCTGTAAATTACAGCCCACTCGCTCTCAAACACACCAGATATCACTCCGCCCTTGGCTCCTGAAATTGTTAATTCGCTTTCGTTGCATCCTTATTTCAATGACGAAAGTCAGCTCTTATGCAAAGAACACTGGCCCCACAGAACTTCATCTCCATGTACTCTTCAATCGGAAAACATGCCGTGAGAACAAAACAACGAGCTGCTCCATGTTGACATGACAGGCACAAAGCATGCAATCTGCATCAAGCCAGTGACATGTCCATGAAGAACATACGAAACTGGTGAACCTGAATACGAGCATCAGCCTACTGCCCCAACAGGAAAGCTGCTGCAAGACGGAGCCTCAAAACACAGCCCCCTATCTTTCATGGCAGGACTTCAATGACATCAGCACACCTGCCGCACGTAAGCTGTGTGGAAGCCGAGTGGCGCCAGCTCAGCTGCAGCGTTGGCGTCATCCAGGGCGCCAGATTTGTCACCCAGAGTCAGCAACGCCCCCGAACGGTTGGACAGCAGCATGTGGAGCCCACTGGGGGGCCGTAGTCCTATGCCCTGTCATGAGTCATTGACAAGTGCCAATAAGAGACAATCGAATCTAGACATCAAAGCAGAGCTAGCGCCAACAGTAAGGAGGAAGGACTGCCTCGCCACCAAATTGTGAAAGATTCATTAAACTAGATCCAGCCTTAGAAGGCGAGCCTGCAGACTTTCCAATAACCACGTGCTCAATACTCGCTTCACTGCTTACACTCGAACATCAATGCATGAGGTGGTGAGATCGGATGGAATGACAATCTCAGGTGAGAGTATGGTGAGGTGAGAATGAGCAGCACCTGTGTATACAGCTCGACAGCTCTTCTAAGATCCCCTCCCCTGGCCTCTGCATTCCCAGCGAGCCGCAGCTCAGTTGCCTGCATATGCATGTAGCGCACAGATCACATCGATGCAATCATAAGTGCGCATGAACATGCATTGCCTTCTTGTCCCAGTCCTCAGAAGCAACCTATGCGTCCTGGACTGCTGGAGAGAGCGAGTCACAGAAAGATGCATTCAATAGTACGGCACTAAGGTGTCCTTGCAAGATGTCCACTTGGTCAGGGAATGTCATGCCTTCAGGAGGACATCTGGAATTGTCATCCCGCAGAGCGTGCGCAGGACCTCTGTCATCTTGGCAGGCGTGCTCACATGCCTGAGAGGCACCTCCCCAGGCTGCAATACCATGTTTGGCCCGGTGCCGCAACCCCCTGCGCACAGAACACCTCTTGTAAGCAACTCACCAGCTGTGAGTCCATGTATGTGAATGGCAAAGGTATGCTGGGTTGTCAGATTCCTCAGCCAAGTCGAGGACTTAGCTAGCAGAGCAATCACCTAGACATCCTGTGCTCTCTACCCGAACGTCCTCCAGAGCCAGGTCTTTTGCGAATGTCAGCACCTGCGATCATTAGACAATGTGGAAGGTGCCTGTCTTCATCCCATTGACGTCCAGGAAGGAAGGAACATGGAAGCTGCGACACGTCAGTGCAGGCAGATCACTACTTTTTTTCCAGCCAGGGCCAAAATATGAGCAACACAAACATCGAAGAAATCATACCTCCTTCGATCCCTGCTTTTTGCAGGTCTTGTTCGTACAGACGTGGAGCTCAAATTTAGCTGCTGAACAAGTCAGAACCTGTCTAGAACGCGGTCCCGCAAATGCGTGGGACATTTGCCTACACCTGAACATATCTACTGAGACCATGTCTAGACCTCTTATTCTACGCAGATACGAAAGCTCCACGAAATCTCTATATGCTTACACAGCAGATCGTGTCTTGTCTAAACTAGCAGTAAGTCAATCTTTTCCTGTCGATACAGCCAAGCATCACATTCACGAACTTTGAAGATTAAACAAATATTTGATCGTACTTCATCGATTACATGAAATAAAGTCTCTCTGAATCCTTCAGATAGGAGCGAAATTCTATTTTGGGTCAAGATGCCTTGCCTCGGCAAATTTGATGCGTATCTGCTCCGACACAACATGCATCCCAAGAAGAAGCCTGGTTTTTCCTCTACCTCTGCATGAAGACATGTTATATCCACAGTAACAGGTCCTTCACAACAGTCCATTGTTTTCGAATCCTGGCTATCTCGGAACGAGGCCACGGCGTTCGTGCAGATCGCTGGAACTGTGACGCTTGGTGAGGTCTCGAGGCAGAGAATGTTCGTTATGTGAAATTTCCAAGTCACTAGGAGACGTCTTTGGTAATTCTTAATGAACAGTGACTCTGAAATTATTGCGTAGTGCAGTTCCTGATAAATACCCAAGTTCAGATGTCTGATGGTCATTTCTATGGACAGGTCTGCGGAGCTGAAAAGGTGCTCTTTTTGGTGAATAATATAAGATCATAAAATACGAGGTCCCTGGGATGTGAGGCCATTTCCATGAGCAACAAAACAGCCACCAGGAGCAGTAGACTTGGAAGCAACATCTGGATATGAAATTCAATGGGGCACAGTACCAGCATGCCTTCGTCAGACAAAAGCGAAGCCAGTGGTTCCTGCAGGTGAAACAGCGACTTGATAGTGCGAGTTATACACCTGTATTTACCTGTGCAACTCTTGCGCTTAATCAGTGATGGCTCAGCTGTTGTCCTGCCACCTGAGGAGGATTCATCATCGAGTCAATATGCACAAAGCGTGCTGTCGGGGCTGCTGCCACAGGAGCCTCGCCACCAGATCACATTGCTGTGTTTCCTGGCCACCTTCACAGCCTATGTGGAGCGAGTGGGCTTCTCAATCGCCTACACAGCCATGGCCAAGCGGGTCAATGTTAGCGAGTCCGTGAAGGGGACCGTGCTCTCAGCCTTCTATTGGGGTTATGGCGTATCGCAGGTGGCTCTCAGCACTTCCTCCCTCGCTCCACATATGGACCACTGTTGTTGAAACGCACTGCAGCAAAATCGGGTGCTGAAGGGACGCCCCAAAAACTATTCGCTACATGCTCGAAGCCAATTGAAGCCCTCTGGCGTTGAAGAACGCTGCATGCTTCTCCCTGCATGAGGCAGGCGGCTTCTAAGGCTTCACCTTGAGCCTTTTGTGGCAGGACAGGGTCTCTGATTGCATGACTTTGTGGCAGGTAGGATTATATAATAAGCATTCTCCATGTGAATTTGCATATCCTATCTTGGCGACTGAGGGGGTTGCCTGTTCCGGCAGGTTCCCGGCGGCTTTCTGGCGCAGCGTTACGGCGGCCGCATCATGCTGATGCTCTCCTTCCTGCTCTGGTCTGCGGCATCTTTATTTACGCCCAAAACCGCTGCAAACTCTGGCGCCATCACAGCTGCTCGCGTGCTTGTGGGCGTCGCACAGGGCTTCATCATTCCCTCGATCCACACCGTCCTGTCCCAGGCGAGCCGCGCATGCCCATAGCCGCATTGCTTGAATCTTTTGCCGGTTCCCATGTGAAACCCCAAAATTCTGTTGAGATTCAGAATCTATATACCAAGAATCTGTTTCATGCGACTGTTGTAGCAGTGCTGGCAAACATATGCCTGCCCCCTGTTGGCACATGAGACTCTTGCAGAAATTATTTGGACAACAAGCCTTAGCCAGGCGGCATTGCATCAACTGTATATTGATGCGTCCACAAACATGAATCGCCGAGCACATATACCGGCAGCAATCTCGTCACTAATATCAAGCAGTATACTGTAGTCTTGGGCCTGAGGATTCGTCATCCCGGTGCTGCTGCAGTGGGTCCCCCCGCACGAGCGAGCGCGCGCGGTGTCGCTGACAACCTCCGGCATGTACCTGGGCTCGGCCGCCGCCATGCTGGCGCTGCCGGCCGTCGCGGCCGCGCGCGGTCCCGGCTCGCTCCTTTTACTGAACGGCGCGCTCGGCCTCGCCTGGCTGTCCGCGTGGACCATTGTCGGGCGGGACATCCCACATAGGTCAGCAGCTCTTTCTTGTAGGCTGATGTTTTCACAGTTGTACTTATAAAGGAAGAATAGAGCCATGCCCGTTGTCTGTTTTCTATCATTCTGCACTGGTTGCCTCAGGGTGGCCAATTTGGGAAGGATCTGAGCGCCGTTCATGAATCATGGAAAATGCATGAATAGAAATAGGCATCCACAACCCTGTGAATTTTTAATTTCCCCAAGGCCTGCTTGCCCTCTGGTGGTAATAGAAAGGGGCAGGACTCATGCCTGCTTCAGGCCAATAGCCTGAGGCTAGCCGACTGGTTGCAATGCTTGTTTGCCAAGGCTTGAATCACTTGTGGTTGCCAGGGCCCAAGCATGCGTGAACAATCCACATGGGATATGGCTCATTGTTTTCATGATCTAGCACGTGACTATTGTGTGTCGCTGTGGGCGTAGGGAGCTGATGATGCCGATGTCGGTGGGGGACGCGGGGAGGGACGTTAATGCGCGGAAGGGGCGGCAGACAGCGACGCCGTGGGCGCGCATGCTGCGGCATCCGGCAGTCTGGGCCATCGTGGTCAACAACTTCACCTTCCACTACGCATTCTACGTTGTCATGAACTGGCTGCCCACCTATTTCGACCAGGTCAGCATTTGCTCTGGGGTTGTGTATTCTCATTTTAATTTAAATATCATTATATTATTACACGCTTGTCCTGCCAGAGGCAAGGTGCGTCTGCAGACAATCTGCAGTTAAAGACTGCCAAGATCCTACCCCTTGATGGACTCGCCAAACACAAGCAAGACCCAATCAACCGTGGGCACGGTGCTCAATATCTATACTGCCGCCCGCCAGCCAGGGCCTACGAAATGAATACTGGGCCTTGAGGCATTTGGCCAAGTACCCTGCTCAGGTCATGTCCTGAAATCAGGCAAATTGTGCAGCTTCAACAGTCTGAGCGACTTGCTGCTCACTGCATTGTCTGATGCAGCTAGCGCAGAGTAACCATAGCATGGCTGCTTGGGGAGAGAGTTGAGGTGCTATGCATGCGTGGCAAACAAGACAGGTTCTTTATTGGGCAGTGAGTGCTTTGCACGTCCGGCAGACCTTGTGTCTGTTTGCCTCGCGTCTTGCTGAAGGCATTGCCGAAGATGTCCTTGAGCAACGGAAGAGGTAGCAAACACATGACCTGCGTCTGGACAGTCCTTCAGCTGGGAAGCTATGCAGTTCTTACTTGCTTCTGATACCTGTGAAAATAAACGTACTCATTCCGGTCTTGCAAAGCACAAGTATCTGAGGACGGATTCGGTCCCCACAGTCCAATGGTGAGGCCTGCTTCCACTGACGTACAAGAGTAACGCTTGCAGCAAGCGTTGGCAAGGTCTAGTTGTCCACTCAATTTTTTTTTTGCAACATGCAGGTACTGAAGACGAACCTGGCGGATCTGGGGTGGATCCGCACGGCACCCTACCTCGTCATGTTTGCCACGTCCAACGCGGGCGCATGGCTTGGGGACTACCTCATCACCTCACGCAAGGCCAGCACCGCTGGCGCGCGCAAGACGGTCAATACTCTAGGTGCGCTGCTTTGCAGCTTCACAGGACGCCTGATCTGTCGCTTACAGCAACAGCGCACTGCGCTGTTGCTGTGATCACGCGCTACAGGATGACTTCCTTGCAGTCGCATGCTGCTGTCACACTCCCAAACTGAGAGTAACTTTGGCGAAAGACTCTGCACTGTGGGCTTGTTCTGCTGCCAGGAGACTGCCCTGGTGCAGTTGACCCCTTCTAGGGGTTCAGGTATGCATGAGCTTGTTGGACTACCACTTCACCCTCCAGATTGCCTCCTTTTTGCATGTTACGTCTCCACTACTGTTGTGTTCTTTATTCACCCCTGTACAAACACCCTTTCTGCGCGCAGGGTTCTGGGGCACGGCGGGGGCGCTGCTGCTGATGCCCCTGGCAGGGAACGCCGCGGGAGGGGTGCTGGCCACGAGCATAACGTTGGGAATGGCCGGGATCGCGCGCGGCGGATTCAGCGTGAACCACATGGACATTGCACCGCGCCACGCCGGCGTCTTCATGGGCCTCTCAAACACAGCTGGCACCGTCGCAGGTGCGCTACTCTCCTCCTGGGTTATCTGGATCTTGTATTGTGGACAGAAAGTGTAAAGCCTTGTGGATCGTCTTGGCCTTTGCAAGCATTGTGCCATTTGATGTGCTTGATGGGCATCTGTAACACAACCGGCACCGTCTTGGGTGCGTGCGCTTCCATAGCTACCCATGAAATTGGATGTACAATTTACAGAGGGGCACAAAAGCTGTTCTGGGCTAGCTAGACATGCTAGCTTCCTACATCGCTCATGACCTGGCTGATGCTTCCCCGTCACTGGGGAGTTTCATGCAGGTGTGGGATTTTGTGGGCAGCCTATGTTTGAGAAGAGTCTAATGTGTGCACCTTGCGTGCAAGGCATCAATTTGGACATTATGATGAAGTTGGGGCATATTGAGTGCAAGTTATGGCCTTCGACATTGAAAGGATTGCAGCAGCAAGACATGTTAATATTCTAGTGCTGCGATACTCTTGCTGCACCTCCAAGAGCAAGTGATGGGTGTGTCATTTCATGGCACCCGTCTGTTTTAGGCGGACTAAAATCCAGCCCTTCTCACCTAACCATTTCTGTGTGGCCCTCAACTGCAGGCATGGTGGGTGTGGCGGTGACTGGGTGTATGCTCGAGGCGGCAGGGACAGGCAGTCTGCTCGGCTGGTGGCAGGCTTTCGCCACATCTTCCGCCCTGTGCATGGCCGGCAGCCTGATGTTTCTGACCTCCGCGCGAGGGGACCGCTTATTCGGAGGCAGCGACCAATTTTGAACGAGGCAATTTGCAGCGATTCTTTGTGTGAAGTATGCGTTTCTTTTTCCTGTTCCTAGACACTTCTGCATGCGCGATCTATAGCTATGACCTCCGGAAGATCTGATCAGTATATAAGCGACTGCTGGAGAGCTGTGTGAGAGTGGAGAGAGCAATGTTGTTACAGATTACAAGCTCGAGGGCGATATGATCATATGCCACGAAACCTGCGTTAAAGATATCTCACATTGATCTTCAGCTCTCACTCGCTCACACGCTCCTCACTCTAAGCTCTCAGATACCTGATATAAAGGACAGGAATGGGCACCTGTGAATATTTAAGGCTGTGCTGCGCTGGCCATGGCAGTGTACTTCTGGAACTTGAACATCGACAGTTTGTAAGGCGCCAGTTGCTGCATGAGGCTTGACCCCTTTGGCACATAAGCAGTGACCACCGTGCCATCTGAGCAGTGCTCCTCACTCATCATTATCCCACACCCGCGTACATCCGCGGTCAACTGCCCCTGCACCAAAAGAGAGAAACTGAATTCAAGCACAGCTTCAAGCATCGGAAAAAATTTGTAAGCCCCGGGGAATTGTGTCACCCGAGAAATTGGACCCAAGAATACATCGCCCCCAATCTCAAATGACCCTTTTCTAAGAAATCAAACAATGCACGGACGGTGTTGCAAATGAAAGCAAACACTGCCGTGGATGATGTTGCCAATACAATAAGAAGCATTGGCTCTCCACAGCAAGACGTCCCAGAGTGAACTTGCCTTGGAGAAAGGGATGAGCAGGTGCACAAACTCCATGGACGCCTTCAGCTGCTCCTCAATCACGTTCAGCAGCTCGTCAACGCCCTGGCCGGTGTGTGCAGAAACACACACCACCGACTGCCGCCCACCCGCCACCGTCGCCACCTGCAAAGTTCATGCAATCTCACAATCCCAATTGTGCGATCTCAGGAATTCAACGCACCTGTGACAGTGCAATCTCGCAAACAGCCAGAGGTTGAAGGACGACACCCAGATTCTATCGGAACATGATGTACACTACAGTGAAAGTGTGTTCGGGATGCTGATGCACAGCATACTTGGACCTCAGAGTGAAGGCCTGGGCAGCCAGTGGCGTTGGATTCCATCAGATCAAATACCAATGAGCTGACAGGTCTCAATCCTCGTGAGATGCAGGGATCATCAACAGCTGTAGTTGCATCTCTGGAGAGTACCATGAAGAAAAAGCCATTAAGGAAGGGCTAACGCACCATCTCGGGGTCGCGCACGAGGTCCATCTTGTTCCACACAGTGATGATCGGGACCTCTGTGGCGCCAATCTCCTTCAACACCTGCAATGCACAGCCATCCGCTTTGTGAGTTTTATCTGAGCAGTTTGAGCTGAGCTTTGGTCGCCCCCTGCTGCTGCTGATGTCTGCACATGCAGCTGCAGCCTGCAAAAAAAGCTCTTCTGCATGCAAGCAACTGGACTGTCAGAAGACTGGACCATAATGTGCTAAACCTGTGGCAGACTTACCATTCCCTCACTGACCAGACCCAGACTCTCTCAAAGACAGTGTGATGAGGTCCAGGCAGCGCACCTTGAGCACGGCCTCGCCCTGGGCAGCAGCGAGCGGGTGGCTGCAGTCGACGACGTGCAGGATGACCGATGCTGCCTTGATGTCGTCCAGCGTGGCGCGGAAGGCGGCCACCAGCTGCGGGGGCAGCTTCTGGATGAACCCCACCGTGTCGCTCACCACCGCCTGCGCGCGTCAGCCGCAGAAATACTCTTACAATACCTTCACATACTGTATTAGAATTCTTGACCCTTTATAGACCCTTAACCTGAAGTCGCCAGTGCATTCCCCTGCGCGCATCAAACCCCCGTCGCTGACATCGGCGCACCGCTCGTGATGACTCTCTAGCGTGTCCTGCATTGCCATCCGAAACTGTGACCGTGCGGTCTCAAGCTGCTAGCGCTTGTTGAGTGCCGGAAGCATTCATCAGAGACAATGAAGCAAATTTGTCAAGATCCAACGCCTGAATTTCATCTGCCCAGCAGCTGCTGGGCCATGGGATTGGCTAGCGTCATGATTACCCTGCCGTCTTTAGAAAAGTGAAAGGCAGTGTTCCAGGTGCCCTCCACCAATATGCATTTAGCCAAGCATATCAAACATAACAATGGTTTTGACGGCCATTTGCTCAGACGCGGATGCCAGAGTAGCCTTTGAGGGCTACAGCCTGTGCCACTCATCCCACAGACGAAAATGGAAACAGCAGGGGAAGAGCGATCACAGATTCCTCTGCTGTTTCTGGACTTCTCCAAGGGATGAGGAACACAGGTCCAGGGCCACATTCAGTTGGCTACAGGCCGATCCAGAACAGAAGGCAGGAGGAACTGTGATGGCGCTGAGGGCGCGCCTGGAGGCCGGAGGGCAGGATTATCTTGCGCACGGTGGTGTCAAGAGTGGCGAACAGCGCATCCTCTGACAGCACGGCCGCTGATGTGAGCGCGTTCATGAGGCAGCTCTTGCCAGCGTTTGTGTAGCCGACCAGTGCTATCAGCGGCACCGCCAGCTCAGCGCGGCTCCTCCTGTACTGCTCCCGGCACTGCTGCACCTGCGTTGCAGCACAAAGTGAATCTTCAGATTCCCTTCGAGGTAAACCTCTGCAGGGACGGGCGGGACCATCTCTTGAAGGTGTCCTGCCAAGTGCGTAGAGGGCGCGAAGTGGTAAGCGACATGCCCTGGAGGAATGGATGTCCTATACTAAATAACAGATCAATCGCTCTTGCTGCTATGGATAGAGCACCAGAGGGCAGCTGAGCTCAGCAGCCGTCTAGATGCCTCGTTGATGCACTGCAAACCTCACAGATTCTGATATGTCTGGAAGGATATATGTTGCAGGCCTTAGTCAGAAGGCAAGTCTGAAAAGTCTGGCGAGGAAGCTGGTGACTACCCCAGGAAAGAAGCAGGCAAGCCATGGGGGTGTACCTCTTCCAACCTGCCACGCAGAATAGCCAGGCGCGATCGCAGCAGCCGACGGTCGACGTCAATCTGCTTCTCCCCCATTCCCTTCATTTTGCCGGCGCCGCTCTGTCGCTCCAAGTGCGTCCACATCCTGGTCAGCCGCGGCAGCTGGTATTCCGTCGCCGCATACTCCACCTGTAATGATTGCCAGAGGAACGCTAGTCAGGATGAAATGCAATTTCACATTTGTAGTCCCTTGCGTTGCTCGTTACGACCCTCAGAACTCCAATTTGGATACCCGTCCTCTGTCACAGGATACAACGGTGACATCATTGCAGTGTGCATGTCAACATTAGGATTATGGCAGGAAAGAGGCGCCTGCAGAGGTCTGCACATTTTGAAAAGCATATGCATGCATGCATGCATGGATGCGGCACCGCACCGGCACAACTTCAAGATTATGTATGCGACACAAGCCCAGCAGGTAAAAATGTCTTGCATGCGCAAAACTAGCTGCAACGCGCATGTAGATGACAGGTGATCCCTGGGCATATAAAGAACAAGGCAGCACCTGCAGCTGGCCCTCCTTTGTGAAGGCCCGCTGCTTGAAGATGTCCAGAATGAGCGCAGTGCGGTCGCAGACGCGCGTCTGCTGGGAACATTTCCGCGACAGGTTCCTGAGCTGCCGCGGGCTCAGTTCGCCGTCAAAGATGACTGTGTTGGCCCCTCTGCTGGCCACAGCCTGCAGCATCTCCTCAACCTTGCCGGGCCCGAGGTATGTCTGTGCATCTGGATCTATGTGCTGCGTGAGGGTCCCAACCACCTGCAGCAAAATTACTGTTGTGACCGACGAGGAGATGCACTCAAGGATAGTGCACATGGGATTTCCAGCTGTCGCACAGCCAAGCAGAGCGCTGGGAGCTGAAGGGCCAGTGTTTTCGTCAGATTCAATATCATCAGCAGGCGCAGGCGTTCAGTACAGCTGGGTAGGGCCAGCAATCCCACCTTCAGCCCTGCTGCCTCTGCCAGGCCTGCCAGCTCTTCCAGGGAGTCTTGCAAGCTGTACTGTATCCCCTGACGTCTGCCCGTATTTGCTGCACCAACGCCGACCAACAATGCCCTTTCTGGCTCATCGTCCTCGAGTTCATCGAGTCCATAAGGAGCAAGGGGAGCCTGTGAAAATTTTGGTTGTTAATGCTGGCACAACTTACACAAGCGTTGCCTCCTACAGCAGCTGAGATCGAGCAGGAAAGTGCCCCAAACCTGAGAGTCGAATATGGGAGATGCCAAAATCTGAAAGTCTTCCTGCTCAGGAGGCGCCGAATACACTGTTGTCAATGCAGTGCGCTTTGCGTGTATTATAGGGACCCACAACCTGCAGCAAGATTGATGTACTGCAGCAGCAGATCTAGGTAGGACTTCCTGAGGACTCCACAACCGATCTGCTGCATGAGACGGGCACTGTGCAAAAGGAAGGGATCGCATCGGAGACTGCAAAGAGCTAGTTTATATCTGTCCTGTTTGTAAGTTGTCAGTCTGATCCGGACTATCATTCCAAAGGACCTCTTCCTTCTGACAAGACAGCAGTAGTTTGCCACGTACACTCACACCACGTGCCTTGCATGCATACAGAGCATCCTCCTCAGATTTGAAGTCAACAAAGGTCTGCTCTGATTGGCTGCTCCTGAGGTGTCCCTTCACACGCAAAACGTTCCTTGACAGAGACAGAGCCACCGTTGGGTGCTATCATGCATGCAGGGAAGGTTGATATTGAAAGTTTGAGGCAGTACAGCGCTAGCGCTCGGGTTCCGCCCACTCGCTATACATGCCATGTGTACATGTACATGTAGTACAGCTATTGTAGTAGAATGAACTACAGAGGCCGCTCAATTGCGCGTTGCGCAGGGGCATGAGATTCCGGAAATTTTCGTCAACCAGTCATTCATTCTTCCTGCCGCGCTGTGCAGCTATACTTCTTGCAGACTGGCCTGTGGTTCTCCCAGTCTGCCAGCTGGCACTCTGCTGAGCAGTAGCGCACCAGGCGGCAACCCCTGCACACCTGCATGCACAATGCAATCTCCTGAGTGATGCAGCCGAGTGCTAGCAGGACCCCTATAGTCCCAGTTGGCACTCTCCTAGCAAGTGTTGCTAGGAGCGGTCACCCGAGCTGGCAAGTTCTGCCATTTTCAGGCATGCTTCCTCAAGGAGAAGCACAAGTAACTTTTCTGATCACTCGAGCGCTGACGGTTTCCCATGACAACACAGCCTTGCAGCAAGCAGACAACAAGCTCAGACCTTGACGCGCCTGACGGGAGACACACCTTTGCTGTATGCATCAAGGGGTTGTTGCGTTCGGCAGCTGGGCTCGATTGCCCGCAGTGGCAGCAAGGGAGCCGCGGCTTAACATGTGCAGATAGCAGCATCTTTTTCAACCTTTTGCCGTGGTGCAGGCAGATATGGAGCTGGGTTTGATCTGCCAGTAAGGCCAATCTTCTCCACAGGAACGATCTCACGCTCTGTCACGCTCTGTCAAAGGCCTCTTAGACGTCTGAGGACGGTCTCACCTGACGAAAAGGTTATTGCTCAAATTGTCACGTACGATCTGCAAAAAAATCGAAGTAGGGATGAATGATAAGATCTTGAATATTCGGAGCAAGGTCTTTGATCGTCTTGTTACGCTTACCTATTCCATGCCTAGCCTCAAAGCAAACGTGCGGCAAGGTCAAGCTGACAGTAGATATCGAAATTAATCATTTCCGTGAGATGCACTCCTGTTGATCATCTGAATTGGGATCTTAGGACCAAATGTGTTCGTCACTTTACCAGAGCCTCTGCACACTTCTCACGTGAGGGGGTGCACCCAAGGGAGATGATCGTGACTCCAACAAAATGTCAGAGTAATCCTTGCCCTGAAGAGCTTGTGCACCTTTCCCAAGAGCGAGAGTGTGCTTTTTCCTTGCTTGCAACACTATAATTTCATTGGAATTCATCTGCCATGTCATGATTACCATGCACAGCACGTGCCTTGCTTGCATAATCCCCAAAGGTTTTCGGACGGGTCAATCCGCAAACGTTTGGTACTTGAAGACCATCAGGGGCTTTCAATTCACCAAGAGGGAAATTCTTGATGAGGTGGTAATATGATTTAAAGGTTTCTGCACTCCCAGGACTTGTAAGCAGACTCGCAAGCTTGCCTCGAACATGAAGGCATGGAACAGGTACACTTTTCAACGCTTTTTAAAACAACAAAGAGTTTTGTCATTTCAATGACGAGAACTTATGCGAAGGGGGCTCGATGCACTGAGCATATTTTTTTCGTCAGGCGAGACCGGCCTCAGACCTCCTGGTGAGGCCTTTGACAGAGCGTGAGATCGCCCTTGTGGAGGAGATTCGCCTCACTGGCAACCAGTTCTTCAGGAAACAGCAGTACAGGTAAGTCTTATGCAAGCTACCTATCAATATTTCTTCACAGCATCACTTCACCGAAGCTGTACAAGGTGAAGCAGGCAGCTCTGACCAGCGGCTTGGCTGCTTGGTTGCCTCATTTGCCTTCCGCTGCGCTTTACTGCTGTGATGACCGCACTCCACTTGTCATTGGCAGCGGCGGCCTGGTAAAACAGTCAACTCTCCTACTTGCCTTCAGTCAGGAAGTCTAAGCAAATCTGGCTGCGCCCAGGGATGCAGAGCTGCTGTATCGCAGCGGCCTGGGGCTTATGGCACTGGGACCAGAAGGCCTGCTCACAGAGAGCGCACAGGGCAGTGAGATGCGCTGCATAAAGATGAGCCCCACAGATGTGTGCTCGCGGCTGTCGCTGGAGGACAACCGGCGAGCTGCCACCCTCTTCGTCAACCTGGGGCAGTGTCTGCTCAATGTGCCCGGCCCATCGAGGGAGGCCACCATTGCTGCCTTAGATGCTGTTGAGGTGAGCTCCTCGCTGTTTGGCTGTCACTACCTCTCTCCTGATAAGCGCACCATGTTGAAAATTATCCCTATTCTGGTAATGTTTGCCCTCCCAAAACCTGGAAAAACAGATGCTGCTGCTCAAAGAATCCCCTGCACTTGAAAGATTCTGCAGCGTCGCATGCATGTCTGTGCATGTCATACTGCCATGAAGCTAGCCTTGAAAGCAGCGTGTCTTGGTGCGTGGGTTCGGTACTAGGAAAATTGTCTGAGAAAACGAACATCAGGTGCCTACTTGGGTGCTGCTGCAGATCTGCTTCAGAGCGGAGGTTCATCTCAATTTCATACAGCTGCAGAGATCTCACAAGAGGAGCACTCCCACGACAAATTATCTTCCCCCAGAAGACCCGCTGTGTAGTCTTGTACTCAAGGCCATAATCCGCAAAGGTGAGTCCCAGCTCTGGGTAAAGCTCCATTCATTTCTGCCTCACTCTGGGGCAGGGTTTGACAAGGGCTCACTGAAAGTTCGAGGTGTCCCTGAGGTCAGGCGGAAACAGGCAAGGGCTTTGCCCTTGCCTGTTCCCGTGAGATGTGCTGAAAGTTAAGGGCATCCCTGATCTCAAAAAAAGTCAGTCAAAAAAAGTTAAGTGGGGTCTTAAATGAGGCCCTGGTCCAACGTCTGGGCAACTGGCACGACATACTCCTGGCCATATTTGGACGCTTTGAGTATTTATCTAGCATCTGCAGCAAACCAGGTCAACTGTCCAACGGCCATGCGTATGCAATGGCACTTGGAAACAGTCCAAGGTCCCTGAGATCTGTACAGCACACGCCAGAAATTTAGGGGATGCCCTGAGATTGGGGCGTTTTGGCGCCAGGACTTCGCCCTGACGCCAGACGTCTTCTCCCCATTTTTCTTGGGGCTTCCCTGAAGGCTGCCCCCAATCCCTGAACCGGAGTGCCCATCCCTTTAGGAATCCTTAAGGAGTGTCAGACCCTGCTCTGGGGCTGTAGTCTACAGCATTTTGCCTCACCTCTTCTACGTTTCTGGGCATTCACGTGGTAGTCTCCCACTGCCGCATGCAATGTTGCCCACTGGCCCTGAAGGAATGTTTATAAATGTATTTTTTCTGTACTTTAATGATTGAAGGCTTGCGCAGCTGCTGCACTGGAGCAGTGTGCCAATGCCGCTGGAGCATTGGAGGAGATAATGAGGATCCACAACAGGGGAACAGTGGAAAAGTGGGGCCTTCTAATCCGCCTGAACCAGTATTTCTGTACATCCTATTCATCGAAGGCATCACAGAGCTTGAGTGTCACGCCATTTGATGGGCTGTCACCATTCATTTCTCTTGGCCATCAGCAGCCCATGACCAGTCATTCTCGGCCAAATTTTGAGCACAAGAGCTGTTGAGATCAGACATCCACCGGAGGCGAGTCTGTGCCCTGGACGCAGGGAGCTCTTGGGTCGAATGGAGTCAATTCTGCGCAAGTTTAGCGCTGGCAGCTGGCTCAAGTCATTCCCGGGACCGATGTGGGTTCTTGTGTCCCGCAGCACCCACTCTCACCACAGTGCCAGGGTGGAAATGGGGGTGAGCCTCAATCTGACTGCCATTATTGAGAATGCTTGCAGAAGGAAGATGCTTGCAGAAGGAAGATGCTTGCGGAATATGAGGCATTTATGTGTCCAGGTGTTGTCTGAATTGCTGTCATGATCCTGGAAATGGTCTGATAAGACAAAGCATTCAGGGCTAGTTCTCGGCGAAGGTCATGTTGCTTTGGGAGACAGATGCGGTTTGCACAAGGGGCTTACACAGCGCACAGTTGATTGCGTCTCTCCTTTGGATCTGGCTAGGCCATCAAGGGGCAGGATTTCGGCAGCTTTTGCATGCAGCTTGTCTGCAGGCGCACCTTACCTCTGGCAGGAACATTGTGCAATACTACAAATAACAATTCACAAGGCTTTGGGCGGCGCAGGGTTTGGGTGACATGTACACTAGAGCACAGCGACAGCAGGCAATCAAGCATGCCCCCGTTGTCCACAGAATCAGGGGGCACTTCAGCTGCGGCTCTGTGAGCAACGGTGCAGTCTTTGTCGTGCACTTCTCCTCAGAGCAGGGGGCTCCTGCCGAATCTTACATGGTCACCCAGTGGCGGTGAGAGCTCTCACCGCTTTCTGCATGCCACGATGGTGTCTTCCTGAATCTTTTACATCAGAAAGGACGAGGGGAGATATGCTGACCTGGAGTCCCCTGCTCTGTCAACAGTTGTTGATCTATGCCATGGTGTGGTCACAGGAAGAATGCTCAGGGGGGAGTTTGCATGAGCTGCTGGGGCCTTTTCTCTGGAGAGCCCATGAAGCCTTACCTAACAGGAGTGGTAGGTGCTTTCAGACTCTGCTAATGATTTTGTGAAATGTGCGATTTCATGCATGCCGAAGGGCTAGGTTGGAAGGTGCACTTCAGGCATTGTAGCACCTCCTGTGGTGATCCTACATAAAGTGCTTTCTTAGCGCCCGTTTGTCCCTTGCTCAGGGAGATACAAGCAGTGAATGCAGCACTGCGGGTCTTGCAGGTGTTCAAAAACTGCCTCTACTGCCTGCACCTGTTGGGGGAAGATCCCCACATGTTTTACTGCCCTCTGGGGCCTGATGGCATTGGCCTCCAGGGCACCGGCTTGAAGGTGCACGTCCTCCTCTAGCAGCAGTTGCATGCACATGTCACGAGAGCACATAACTTTATTTTGCACCGGACAAAGCTCTGCATGTCACTCCTGTGAGCATGGGCCGGTCAAGATGAATTATTGACTCAGGATTGCACAACCCTCAACCTCTCCCTAGGATTCTCATCGAGTTAGATTAAACATCTTCAGCGTCAGTGGCGGCTCCATCCAAGCACTGTACTACCCCTTTGTCAAGCAGGGCTTTTGTGCGCCACTGCAGGTGGCCCTGGAGTATTCAGAGGACTGCTCAAAGATGAGGAAACCTGTTTCTGTGGATGACTTGGGAAGATTGGTGGCGTGTGGCGATGCAATGTATCTTTTCGGCGGCATTGACATCCTCGAGAATGGGCAAAGTTCGGCCGCAAATGACCTCTACAGGTTTGTATTAAAGTATGATCAGGACGGCGCAATCTCCCACGCACAGTGCACAAAAGTTATATCAGGTGGGGCTTAACATCGCTTCCAGGGGAGGTTCCTGTCATCTTTTATGTCATCTTTTAAATATTGCTTGTGTCCTGTGTGCATTTCTAAGCTTGACGCAGGTTCTATTCAAGTGTGTTCCTTGTGTGCTGCAGAATGCCCGCCATCGCCAAGATGGGCCCATGCAACCTTTGTCCATGGAAACCAGATCTTCATTTATGGCGGGGTGGACGAAAGGTACAATGCGTTTGCCAGTGGGTGTGCTTGTATCTTCGATCTATAAACCCCTCTTAAGGAAGAACCCTGTCTCCCCCTGGCACAGGGGGCACAGAAGACTACTGCAGTCGTATGGTGCAGTCATTAGTACACCCTGCCTGGCAGTTGAATCAGACTTCGAAGTGCTTTCCTTTCGTTGGAGACGCATCCAGGTGATCTCACAATGACGCCGGTGTGCAGCAAACTAGCGTACAATGACATGTGGAGCTTTGATGTGGAGACGGGTCAGTGGAGCTGTGTCGAGTGCTTCGGCTGCAAGCCCTGCGCAAGATATGCCGCGGGTAAGTGCCTGGTGCTCTCAAGTCTTGTCATGCGTGACTGATCTGCTGCCACTCAGCAGTGACAATTTGAAGTGTCTTTGTGTTTTGGCAAGTCAGATTGGTCGGGCACTCTAGCGGAAATATAAATCACTTAATGCAGGGGTGGCATCAGATGTGGAGAGGGCTGTGCTTGTGGGGGGCTGCACAAATGCGGGCCTACCACCGTCTCGAAAAAATTGCCTGTGGCTGGCGGACGTCTGGGAGTTCCACTTTGCAGAGCAGTGCTGGATTCAAGTAAGTCCTGGATCCCTTACTTTTATTGCTCTGCATTCAGTCCTATGTCTTGTCAAGCAAGCAGTTTCATCCACCCCGTCAGCAGTGTGCATTGCATGGCCCGGCCTCCTCTCGCTGACGTGCTCCCATCGCCGGCTTGATTGGATCGCAGCTCTCAAATGTCAATGCATTCCTGCTGCATGCCACCCGGGTTCCAGGCTGCTTTCTGTGCTTGTGACGTTTTGCCGGTTATGTCATTCTGCCAGGTATATGTGCCGGTTTTGCCAGGTTGTGCCAGAGAACAGGAACCAGCCGTGGATAGCCGGGCAGCAGAGCGCGGCGTGCGGCCTGGTGGGCAATGACACGCTGCTGGCTGTCGGGGGTTATGGGCCTCACCGCAAGCCTGAGAACGATGTGCTGGCCAGATTCACCTTCACCTCTGGGCCGGCTCTTGCTCTGCATGCCAGCGTTGCAAAGCAAGGTGTGCACCTTCACACATCCCAGGAGGGAGTAGATCTCACATTCACATTCAAACACAAACACAAATTCCCATTCACCAGGATGCACAGCTTGCAGAATCACTGCAATCGCTCGTCCCTGAACCGACTTCATCAAAGCTGTGTTGTCTTTTGGGCCAAGGCTGCTTGTGCCCTGATGTGTCAGGCTTCCTCAGCAGGCTTGCGTGGCAAGTTTTCCAAGATACTGGTCAGTGCAGGGGTGCATTGCATGCTGGACTGTCTGCATCAAGGGTGGCAGTTAACAACAGTGATGCGTTGCGCCTGTATGACTAATGACAGTACCCCTCTGCTGCGCAGGCCGCTGGAGGGATCTGGCAGTGGAGCGCGCATGCGAGGCAGTGGCAGGGCTGAAGCCTGATCTGGCGCGCATGCCAGAGAACCTGCAGGAGCTTTACGGGGCGCCGGCAGGGTCCGTAACGCTGCTGACATCCGATGTGCCCGGCATGGCCGCCACGGTTCTCACGCCGAGCGACAAAGAAATGAAAGAGATGATGCCTCCGAGCTGTAAATTTGGCCCACACCCGCAGGAGCCACTTCGGTGAGTGCTGTGGTGCTCAATCAAAGTGCATCCCTTTAGAGTTGACCGTTAAAATCGCAACTTGTGTCCCAGCTTTCCGTTTTTGAGCCTGGTCACTTGAGCATGCTGCCGTGACCAGGGTGAGTGCAGCGTAATCTCTCAAGCGTTCATTTTGAGACAATATTAAACAGCGTAATTGGCCCTGGCTGGCGGAGGGCGGTACAAATACTGAGCACCGTGCCCACGGTTGATTGGTTCTTGCTTAAATCTGGCAAGTCCAACAAGGGGTGGGTATTTGGCAGCCTTTACATGCAGTTTGTCTGCAAACACACCTTGCCTTCGGCAGGAAAAGCGTGTAACGATAAAAATAATAATAATAACTAGCGTGTGGGGTGACAGGCCATTGGGGGCTCACAGCGTCTGGGGCTCAGAGGAGTGCCCCTTTGATCTGGCCCCCCGCTGGCTGACATCACCCTCTGAGGTCAGCGTCAACCTGGCAAGTGCCAGGTCAGGAAGCCTGACGGATCTCTTGCCATTTACCTTATGCCAGACGGTCAAGGTCTTTGGCACAGTTAAGGTGTGATCTGTCTGTTGAGAATATAAAATATTCTTACAATGAATTTGATGACCATAGACTTTTTAGCCTTCATCGACCCTAAACCCTAAAAATTCTGAAATAACCATTGACTCCCCATGAATTATTACAATTAATGCCCCTTCCCTAAACCCCAACACCTAAATCTTAGATCCATATTCCCTGAAAACCCCAAGCTAAAAAGGTCATTGTAGAAATATTTCCGTGGTCCGTCGAGCTGCTGAGCTAAATCTGATCAGTAGATTGAAGGCCTTTGCATAAGCATGCATCTGGCATCGCCCCAGAGTTCCTTTTGGGTGCCTTTCTGCTGTGTACAATGCTGCAAAAATTATGAATAAAACATAATTAATGATGCCGCTCCTGTGCTCAAAAGCTGAACACCAGGCAGGTTCTTGCTGCAGAGTTTTCTATGCATGCTTCCTGCCTGCATCATCATGGCTTGAAAAAATGCAGGCGGCAGTGGAGTACTTCAGACTTTGCCAGCCAGACATTACATTGGGATCTGCACAAGGAAATGGCGTCCAATGGCGTCCTGTGCATGTGAGTATTCCCGCTAAATCCATTTAATATCATCGTTCCCCATGTACAAGAGGAAGAACAGGGACGCTACAGGATTGTGCGTGTGTTTCTGCATGTTATCATTATTAGTGTTATTAGTAATTTATTTGTTGTTAGTGTTAGTAATTTCTCTTCCTGCCAGGAGGCAAGGTACGCACTGCAGACAAGCTGCACTTACAGGCTGTCGAAATCCCACCCTTTGTTGGACTCGCCAGATCCAAGCAAGACTCAATCACCGTGGGCACGGTGCTCAGTATTCATAGCGCCCTCTGTGTATGCCAGGCCTTTTCAGTGTTGGAGGGAGCTCCTGTGAAAGCAGGTAGTACTCACCTGCATAAATGCGATGAGAAGACAAGAGAAGAGTGAATTTCTCGGCAATGCACAGGGCACAACTGATCTTGCGCCCGATGGTAAGGCGCACTGTCTAGAGGATCTTGGGTTCACCGAGGTGAGCGCTTACTACATTTACCCGCCACTTGGGAACGGTGCGGCCACTTTCCCTTGAGCACTGCCAATTGGCAGACAATAACACCTGATTATTTCCCCTGATGTGCACACATTCGCCTCTGTGCCGCAATTGAGTGATTTTGCTGAATGTGTGCCAAAGAAGTGTGCGGCACCAGTGAAGCGGGGCAACGCCACGCTTTGCATGTCTCGAATGCTTTCTCGAGAGCGTGCCATCCTTCGCGCATGCCCTTTCTGCTGCACTCACAGGTTTTGCAAATCACTAATGCTCTGGTATCTTTCGTTTGACATTCTTCTTGGAATTGCAGGTGTCATGGAGCTCTATATGATGGGGGTCCTGGGCCCATTCTTTGTATGCACCCTTGAAAGTTGCCCATGGGCATTCAACCTTGTCGGTGTACCGGTGTACCTCATTGATGAAACCCAGCTTGGTATCTGCCTGCACCGAGGCAGAAGCTTGATCAAGATGCTGCTATCTGCACACGTCACGGCGCGGCTCCCTTGCGGCCACTGCGGGCAATCGAGCCCAGCTGCCGAACGAACCCGCAACAACCCCTTGATGCATACAGCAAAGGTGTGTCTCCCGTCAGGCGCATCAAGGTCTGAGCTTGTTGTCTGCTTGCTGCAAGGCTGTGTGGGCATGCCTTTGTCAGAGGAAACCGTCAGCGCTCGAGTGATGAGAAGTGTTACTTATGCTTCTCCTTGAGGAAGCATGCCTGAAAGTGGCAGAACTTGCCAGCTCGGGTGACCGCTCCTAGCAACACTTGCTAGGATAGTGCCGACTGGGACCATATCGGTCCTGCTAGCTCTCAGCTGCATCACTCAGGAGACATTGCACTGTGCGTTTCAGGTGTGCCGGGGTTGCCGCCTGGTGCGCTATTGCTCAGCAGAGTGCCAGCTGGCAGACTGGGAGAACCACAGGCCAGTCTGCAGGAAGTACAGCTGCACCGCACGGCAGCACTGAAGCATTACTCAGGGATGGTTTTGAGCCTTCTGCCCTGATGCAAAGCTGCTAGAGGATCCTCTGGACATCTGTAAAACACCCATGCCTGGCGGTTACTACAATCACATGCAGGCCATGAGCATAAATTTCAATGGTCAAGTCTTTTGTGTCAAGGATGCCCTTGTTGTGAAGTCCCCTGCAAACAATGCATGTGCATTGCCTTTACAGCTGTCGTCATATCATCACAGTCTTTCAATCACATTTGTAAAATTGGTTAAGGGGGCTTTCAAAGCGCTGATTACCAGTTCTAAATCGGCAGGACTGATTGCAACTGAGAACTGCCTGCCCACTAAGGCACTTCCGAGGCAATTAAAATCCAACGCATTCGTTCCATTCAAGTTCTGCCTTGATTTATGACAATTTCTGACATCACGTTCAATTGTTCTTGGGTAAGTTCTTGTAATCGTTCCAACGGCTTTTCCCGAGTGATCTGCAGGAGAGAGCTGGTTTCCAAATAGTATGACTTGAATCACGCCTATGAAATACGCTCGTCTAGAAAACTGAAAGGTGTGTCATCTATTCTGCCGCTAAGCGCTCTTGTCAGGCGCAGAAAAATGCTTGCAGACTGGCTTATGGTTCTCCCAGTCTGCCAGCTGGCACTCTGGTGAGCAGTAGCGCACCAGGCGGCAACCCCGGCACACCTGCAGCACAGTGCAGTCTCCTGTTAGGCTGAGGCTTGGACTGACCAGAAGATCTCATGAAGAGCTCTTGCCTCTTGCTGGAGGCAACAGTGCGTGCCATTAGCTGAGAAGTAACGAGAATGTATACAAAAGGAGTGCAAGCTGAAAAACGCTCAACTGGCGGTTGAGGAACCACACCCATAGATATACAACTGGATGACTAATTGAGTGACTAATTGGGTCAGTCACTGGGCGGCGTACCTTTGTTTTGGGCAGAGAGGGGTCGATTTTGAGATGGCCAAGATTGGGGTATGATTCCCCACAGCGGAGGCAGTTGAGCCGCGGCTGAAAAGGAGCGGTGAGCAGCAATTGGATCTGCACTTTGGCGAGGAGCTCGCATTGTTTCCTTGCGATCTTACCGCTGAATGCATCAACCTTTCTGTGCAGCACGTATTGCGTACGTGGCCAGCATGCATGAAAAGACCGGACCGCAGATCATCATCAGGTAGAGCTGCATGAGTCCTGCAGCCCCAGCCGTGAGCGATGAGTAATCGGAAAGTGATGAGCAAAATGAACTAGCAACTCGATAGCAAGCATGCTCTGCTTGTCCAAACCTGGAGCACAACTACTTTACATCAAAAAGTTAATGCCTCAAAATATTGTCTAAGCATTGATTGCACGGAGCAATGGAAGCACTGCAATCCGCACCTACCGTTCAGGCAATGCAACACAGAGAATGAGAATGGGAATTCATGGGAAGCAGCAAATTCAAGCTGACAAAGTACAGGACTGCTTGCCGCCAAGATTTTTACGGCCTTCCAAAAGAGGCCATTGCTAGAAAGGTGATGCAAAATTCATTGAAGAGGAGCCTTCCTGACTTACTCTTTAAAGACTGGTGGCCTTTGGGTTTAAAAGCAAAGGGCGTCATTCACCGAAGGCTGCTTTCCACTACTACATGACCACCGCCCAGATCACCAGATCGACATTACAGCAAAGAAGGGCGCAAACCTTTTGATGGCGGCGGCTCAAAGGATTCGCAGAGGTAGTAAGCTTTAATTTCTGTGAGTCTGAGCTCCCTCAGGCAGTCCACACCAAAATACCTGTCGAGCTCGCCTGCCACGGTATGGAGTCCCTGCAGATGACGCTTCACTTAGTCACCAGCCCTTACCCGCTGCGAGTGTTTGGCCCCCGCAGTCAACCAAAGGGGCATGTAAACTGGAGAGCTGTCAGTGAAGGTTATTCTTTTAGGGGTTGATATCTAGGGTTTGGGGGGTTGCAGTGAAATGTAACAAAAACCCCAAACCCAACCCATAAAAACAAACTGGAAAAGTATGTAGCTAAGGCTTCTCCCTCTGTGAGAGGTGAGAGATAAACCATTTTTAAGGTTGTCAAACATTTTAATTCATATGCAGTTACAGACCAATCCAGACGTTGGGGTGAGACCCTGTTACGAAAACTTACCTGCACAGGGCGCCACCTGGCAGAATAATCTTGATCTGACTCTGGCGCCAAGTCTGGCTGGCACAGTCTGAAGTACTCCGCTGCTGCCTGCACGCATTCCCTGATGTCACTTTTTACGAGTGAAAATGAGCCTACTATGATGGAAAAATCAAAAATTAATATTGGCCTTGCAAGGGAACTCTTCTGAGCGACTTGAAGTCGGAACTATTTACCAAGCAAGTGCTCTGCTTACGCTCTGCTTGCAGATAGCGTTCCTTCGTTGTCATGACTCCCTATCGGGCATCAAGAGGCGGCTACAGATTTTTTAAATCATGAATCGAACCGCTGGACTTGACAATGTTTGGCAAGAAACCCACCTTGGCTGTGCCCAACTGTTTTACCACGTGCCGCATGGTGCCAGGCTGGTTCTGTGACTCATCTGGGCGGGAGGCAATGAGGTTGGCGCTGACCTCACAGGGTGATGTCAGCCAGCGAGGCGTCAGCTCAAAGGGGCGGCACCCCGAGCCCCAGAAGCCCTGGTCAGTCAACGGCCTGCTCCCCAGACTTCACGTGTCAAAATCCGCTACTTAAACTGATTTTTGATCTTATGGAACATTGGAGCGTGCATGAAGGGGTAGGTAGGCTACAGGTGTTATTTGGTCTCAGGGAGTGACGATGACTAATTGGTAGGAAGGAAGTAGTCTTAAGACGGCCCCTTCTTAGAAACGGGTTATCAACCCCTTTTTGTGTTCTCACTATGCTGTACGTGGAAGACTTGCACAGTGATCAGTCGATACGCAGGAAACTAGAGCCTTCAACAATAAGCAAACCACTAACACAATTAATGGCGCTTACCTCAGAGGAAGCTGGAGCGCTTGACACAGCTTGCAACCCGGGGGCAGCGCATTCCTGACCCCTAGGTTGCTGTCATCGCTAGGGGTGAGTATGCCGGTTGCTATGTTCCACACGTCTGGTGTCAACATCGTTACGGACCCTTCCGGGGCCCCGTAAAGCTGCTGCATCTTCTCCGGCACATGCGCCAACTCCCCGGCAGACCTCAGCTCTGCCACTGCTTTGCATGCGCGCTCCACTGACGGATCCCTCCAGCGGCCTGCATGGCATACTACCCTGTCAGATTACTATCATCATCACACGCTCTTCCTGCCAGAGGCAAGGTGCGTCTCCAGACAAGCCACTTGTTATTGATGCTGCAAGAATCTTGCCCCTTGACGGCCTCGCCAGATCCAAGCAAGACCCAACCAACAGTGGGCACGCTGCTCGTCAAATTTTACCGGCCCTCCCCAGCCGCTTCCAATTAAGGGATAGATTAAAAATATTTATATACGGACAATAACCCCCGCAAAAAAATTAAAGAATTATTTTTTTATTTTTGGACAAAAAGGGTGAATACATTAGACCCAATTTCCCAAAATTAAGAGAATCCTAGGATAATTTTGAGACCAGATTCGACAAGTTCCCGACCAAGCCCAGTACATTGGAGCATAACCCTGGTGTTTTTGATGTCAGGCAAACCTCAAAAAATTGCTTTGCGGAAATTGCCACACCGCCGAGGGCGCGGGTTTTAGGATGACTGCTACAGTAGAAGCTTCTTCAAGCTTCTTCAAGCTTCAGCTTGAAGGCATGTTGCACTATTCGAGCATCTCTGCAATTGTAGATGCTGCGCCTTTTTGTCAGCATTAGCAGAGATGCGCGCACCCTGTTTGTTCAAGCTGGCATGCAGAGCGAGGGCCGGTCCAGGGGTGTATGTGAAGTGGGCGAGCATGTTGCGCTCTGTCGGGTCTGCTGGCCCGTGGCCGCCCACACACAGCAGCGTGTCGTTGTCCACGAAGCCGCATGCAGAAGTCTGGCGCCCTGAGATCCAGGCCTGCTTCTTGTCCGCCGGCACCACCTGTAAAACAGCGCAGCAGGAACATCTATCTCAGTCAGATGCCCCCAATGATACTAAAACCTAAACACTAAAATGTATGTATAACAAGTGCGAGCGCCCGCGGGCGGCCACGAGGTCATACGCGATCAGGCAGAACCTAGGGATCAGGCCAGCGCCCACGTGAGGAAGTGGTCGATAACAGAAGACACAGAAAACACACTAGAGACTGCGGATGCGACTCTTTCTCGAGCTCTGGAGTGGCTCACAACTCGTCGCCATATCCGTAAAGCCAATCGCCAGGGACATGATTAGAGACAAATTATGGCCTAAAACAGGGCAATCCCCTCCAAATGACCTCTAAACTCCGGTTCGCGTTCCGTACAGCAAGCGTGGCCGCCTGCTCAGGAGCCAAATGGCCTAGGGAAGGGGCAAAATATAGAGATGAATCGTACCAGGTTGGGCGACCATTTAGGGCATTCGCCTTATGGCGAATGACCAAAAATGACACAAGTACCTCCTATTCCAATAAGGTGCTTGCAATGCCTGTTCCTTAATGCTGCATAGCTGCGCATGTCAGGCCCCACTTGGGAAAGCGCGCAGAGATGCAGAGTGTCACTACAACGTTCGGTGGTCCAGCCTTCTCCGGCCACGCTTCTGGCTGGATGACGAGTATACGGTAATGCAGGTATACCTGGTTCCCTCAGTGAGGAAAATAAGTATCAAGAATGGTGTTTTAGGCTTCGGGCGTGTGGATCAGGGGGGTCTATATCTAACTTTTAGCAAACTTCTGACTAAGTTAGATATAGAACCCCCAGTGTGGATCAGTGGAAGGGTGGGACAATGCAGGGGACTTTAGATTAACGTTAGTTTAGAGTCCCCTGGACAATGCGGCAGAAGGGCAATACACTGAGGTGCTGACCTGGATCCAGCAGTTCAGGTCAAAGTGGTACTCCCAGACGTCTGCCAGCCATAGGACCTTCTCTGCTCTGGTGACCTCTGGGCGCGCAGCGGTCCAACCCCCCACAATCACCGCCCTGTCCTCGTTCGATGCCACCCCTGCATGCATGAATCCTTAGTTTCTCTTACTAAGCAAGCAGGGCCTTCATTCCAGTATATAGGTGGATAGCCAATCTGAAGATGCGGGGTTTAGACCTTTTCATTCCAGTATATAGGTGGATAGCCAATCTGAAGATGCGGGGTTAGACCTTCAGATACCCGCTGCAAGACCAGGAGGAGATACAGATCCCTCTGGCAAAACAAGAAGCTACCCGCCAAGTGGAGGTGCGTCTGAGTAGCAGAAGGTGTAGACTGACATCTAGGGGTGTATTGATGGCTTGCCAATGCATGAAATAAAAGCCTCGGCAGTTGTGCATGACAAAGGATACAATCCCAAGGATGCTCTTTTAGGCAGACCATGGCATAACCTGCTTCATACATTCATTCGTTATCACAGCTTTCAGGGATCAACGGGGTTGCTGCCTTTGTTCCTAATCCTTGCTAAAGCTTGGAGGCTGGCCTGCAGCTACTACCTGGTGGTTGGACTGGAGTTTACCCAATATTCTTTGATGTTACAAATTGAAAAAGTAGCAGTGCTGCCTAGCAGGTTACTCACCCATGGCAGACCTTGAGCAGGGATTGCTTCCATAGCACTCGATAGCAGACCACTTATTTGTCGTGACATCAAATCTGCGCAAGCCATCCTTGTAAGCGAGTTCCCTGCATACCCCCACACCAGCACTTCCTCATCGGCGCTGCACAACAGTCAAACAATCCGTTGGTAATCACAGAATTATTGCAATGCAGATACAGGGACTAGGACTCTTGCCTAGTACATCTTCCTAGGACGCTTTCACGAATCTCCTGATTGATCCATGGCTAGGGCAATAGGATAGGAAGTGTAAAGCCTTGACCCTCCATATGCATATGCATATGCATCTGCATCACTTTCATATCTCTTATTTTTTTGAAAACCTTGTGTAGCAAACAAGTACAGTAGCACAAGTGCATTCTACCGTGTAAAGGTGTCCCACTTCCTCGCAATAAAGTGTGACCATAGTGTCCCTCTCGAGTTCTTCCCAGCCCCTGTTATTTTATGGGTTGTCAGGTTTTGTGGGGAGGAGTATGGTGAAGCCTGAACCCTGTGTGGTCAATGCAGAGGCCCTCGCCTTTCTCTACAGCATCAAACACTATCCTGACAAAAAAAAAACAGCACACCCTGAATCCCACCATCCTAATATCTAACCCTAAAAAACCCTAGACACCTTGCCCATTTAATAATTTGGGGGGAGGGGGGATCAATAGACAAGCTGAGCTGTAACAAGAGACCGGCTGGCGGCGGGCAGCATAAATACTGAGCAGTGTGCCCACGGTTCGTTGGGTCTTGCTTGGATCTGGCGAGTCCAACAAGGGGTAGGCACTTGGCAGCCTTTACATGCAGCTTTGCGGGACCCACATTGCCTCTTGGCAGGAAAAGCGTGTAACAATAACAATATAAAGAATATAAACAGTAGATTACTCACCGGCCCTCTGCATCTCTTCTGCCATCTGACCCGCCAAAGATGAAAATGTGGTTGCCGTGAACAAAAGTGGCGTGGCCCCATCTGGGATGAGGAGAATTCGCTGCGAGCAGAACTCCCCAGTCAAGAACTTTTTGAAACCTGTTGAAACTGTTGAAATCACTCTAGCTTTCTTGATCTTGAGCTGACAGTTAATTTGGCATGCACAAATATCGTGCCTGCCATGCTGTGGCTGATATACAAAGATTTCAAAAGTTTTGGATTTTTTTGGAATCCACAAAATCCAGTTTTGAAATCAAATGCGCCAATGAAGATATTTTTATGAATATGAATTTGAAGCGCCCCGGGTTCTCACCTGCAGCCACTCTGGTGCACACAATGCTGGTGAGGTCAGTCATGACTCCATTCTCCTCCTTCCAATTGGGCACAAATTTGTGCATGTCATTCGTCGCGCGCAGCTTCCCATTGTCGAGAATGTCACGGCCTCCGAAGAGGTACATTGCATTGCCGCATGCAACCAGATGCCCCACCATATCGCTTCTCTTGCTGTAGTGCTTGAAAGAGCGGCCATCGGGAAACTCTATGTCTACCTGCGGTTATGCACACTATTTGTAGCTCCCTATATATATATATATATATATATATATATATTTATATGTAAGTGATCAGGATAAGGGTATAAGTGATCCAATCATCAATACATGGGGCACCATGTTAATCAACGCATAGCAGGGATATGTGAATGACAGGCCTGGCTTGGGCAAGGGGCACCAACACATATGAGCATTGGAATCAAAGACATTGGAACAGGAATTAGATGTCACGGAATGGCCTATATGATTGTTTCCCAGACCCAGAAGGGTCAATCCTTGCCAAATTGTGCCAAACCGTCCCTTGTGACGCTACACCCAGTCAGGGACTAAACACCACATGAAGAACCATGCTGCCATATAGCATTCAAGAGAAATCTAAGATAATGAAATCAGTAATGACGGAGTCTGCGGCTTTCAGCAGCAGGAAAAGTGCGAGCCAGGTTGGCTCTCTTGCAACAGTAACAAGATTCCCAGCCCGGTAGACGCTATGATATTACACTTCATCTATGGTAGGCAAAAACTGGGGAATGAATGATGAAGGTGTCATTTTTACACCCGTTAGGTACGCTCATGTAGTACCACCGTGTATCATGTGAAGCATCTCACCTCTTGGACCTTTCCCACCACGCCTGAGCTATCTGGAAGCAAGGGAATGCAGACCATGTGGGGTTGGTCTGGGTCCAGGCACAGGAAGAAGAGGCAGTTCTGAAACACCTGCCAAGCGAATATCTGCATCAAGCGGCTGCATCCTAATTTTGCTAATTTAGGAGCATGCGTCAGGAAAGGGGCTTACAATAAAATGAAGGGTCACCTAAGGCAAGGGGCGATCGCGCAAACGAGGGTTCAAAGGGACCTAAAACTACAAATTCCCAAAAGTGCCATTATAGATGCATTGTCCCCTAGCGGAAGCCAATTCTAAAGGCTGGCGGACAGCTGCAGAATTTTGCTTTGCACCCTTGAAGTAAAAAACATCAAGCACATTGGCACTGTCCTGCAGTTCTCTGTATGCGTTGGACACGGGCAAAATCCCCTCTGACAGGGATGGGATCTCTTTTCCCCTTTCTAAAAATTCTAAAAAAAGCATTTTGGAAACACCTACCGTGCCTGTTCTGACGGGCAGTGTTGGATGTCTGTAAAAGGTGCACCAAGGAAACATCGCGAGCCGATCCTTTGCGGTTTGACTCTTCCTGTCATGACAGCACGATTGGACCACAGTCAGAACCAAGCCACAAGATTGAGACCCCACCCCACCAGTATACATGCACAAGATGGCCTTGATACAATGTAACGGTCACAGGGGACTGCTGACTGGACTGCAGACTGTCAAGTCACGAAGCGGCGCCGACTCGACTGCAGATTTGCCAGTGACTAAGCGGCGGGAGTACCCCAAGTGAGGATTCCAAAAGGTGTTTTTTAAAACACCATCTTACCCTGGAAATCAATTTCATTATAGTGATTTCGGAGACCCAAAGAGAATCAATACTATCATGAGGTGGGTGTGCAACAAGAGCTGTTGCTTCTGCAGGGCCCTTGTCAATTCCTTTAGGCTACTACAATCCTATATTTGTAGAACATGAACTTTTAGAAATATTGAACTTTCTTGAACTTTTTAGTAAGAAGTAAAAAGTATGAAAAGTTTTTACCCTAAATCCTTAACAATCCTGAAGCCACAAGATACTCTCGTATAATTTATATAGCATAGAACTGACACAAGAATGACAGCAGTGATAGACAGTGCTCACCTCCACTGGCTGATGACATAGATGTCCTCAGCCGCCGGGTCTTTGCTGCCGTAGTGCACAACAAAGAGCGCGCAGCCTTTTACCGCGCCGCATGCGAAAGTCTCTTTTATGGCTCCCACTTGCAGGGACTGCTTTATTACCATACGCCGGATCAGACCATCCTCCATCTCCTGCGCAGCCGTCAGTCTCCAATCAAGCACTGCGCAAATCCCTTGTCCTGCATTGACGTTCGATCAGACCTTCTGCAGCAGCTTCATCGTGAGGCAGTGCAGCAACGAAAGCAGGCAATTGAGCAGAGAGCGGTCACATGAGGACGTCCGGCATGACACAGCACACGTCTGTACAGTGGAAAACTCAAGAAAGCATTATATATCCCCAGCAGTGCTCACGTGCCGGTGAAAGCATGCACGCAATTCATGAATACATGTTGCATGCATGCGATGTATGCAGTGTTGCTTATAGTTTAGAGATGTAGATATTGTCTGCACAACCCGGCGGGTCACATGACAGTCACCACCTCGGTCTAAGCACATGCTCATCCCATTTGGGGATTGTTTCTGCCCTGCCGCGACGTTAAGTCTCGAGCTTGACTTTGGAGCCCGAGCTGGGCTGTGAAACATTGGGTTTTCGGCCCGGTGTACCCTTGTGCTATGTCTTCTACCATTCAGACTCATGACCAGACTCATCATCTGTCTTGCTGGAGTTCAACAGCCCATGCTTGCAATCAGGGCCCAGCTTCCTTAAAATAAGTTTCCATTGCAGCAGACTTGGCCAGGTAATGGGCAGACGCCTGGGTGTGGTCCCAGCTTATCGCAATTCTTTGGCAGTCTTGAAAGCTCAAGAGCAGAACATGATTTTCTTCTGGGGTCTGTCAGGGAGCATTGCTACTGAGATGGTGCTAGTGGCTCACCCCGAGAACTACCCTCGCTTGGTGGTGGCAGTCAGCGCTGTCAGAAATGAGCTCCCACAGCGGAGTGGGGATTGACTGGAGCCACCTGGCAGAGTTCATCTTGCGCAGAATGGACTCAAATCGCTCCAATCGCTCCAGCTGCTCGCTGCAAACATCAGCTTCCAGTCAAACAATGCCTATGACAGACTGCAGACATGTCAAACAAGAATCACAGATGGACAGTGAAAGACTGCCCGCAAGACCAAATGAGCCTCAGGTGGCTCCCAACTAGTCTCTGAAATGCACAAATGGCGATTTCATAACAGGGAGGCGTACTCTTCTGCTTGTCCCCTGTGCACGACCAAAACCTCCTCCATGGCTCCAGCAATGTTTGCACACCGCTCGAGCGCAAGAACTGGTGCAGACACAAATCAAACCATGAGTCTCGTCATTACTGTATCATGCTGTTTGTGCCAATTGTAGGGTGCATCTGCGGACAAGCTGCAGGTATTGCCGCCACACATCGTGCCCCCTTGATGGACTCGCCTCTTCCAAACAAGACCCAAGAAATTATGGGTACGGTGTCCATTACTTGTACCGCCCCCCGCCAGCCAGGGCAATTGTAGGGACTTTCATTTTTCGCATCAGAGGACAATCACACTCGGCTAGAGATGATGAGAAGAGCTAATGACACACTCATCTGGAGGGCCAGGATGGTCGAGAAATTCTTCTCACCTCTGCGCATTGTAGCCTTTCTGGAAAAGCCATGGCTGGTCGCACAAAAGTCCAATTTTCGGTCAAAATCCTCGTCACTAGAGGTCTGACTCATGAATTGCATGGTGGAGTCATTCAGATGAAGCTTGGCCCTGGAGCATATCTGCAAGAGATGAACAGCGGTGCATAAGCCACACATCATAATACAAAGGTCCAAGACAGGCTGCAACTCAGTTCTGACATCAAAATCCAGTGATAACAGAAACAGTGTAAAAAATTTGGATGGTTGCTGCGGTATCCACCAAGAAGCGTCTCATTGTTGCTCCTCGCTCAAACTACTTGCATAGCATCCCAACCTTCAAAATGAGGCTTGTCTACTTATTTCCAGTGGGAGGGAGAAACTTGCCATGGCAGCCTCCAAGGCGCCTAAAGTGGCCTCCCTCGATGGGCGTGCCTGGTTGTGCAGAGTCTGCGCTAGATTGAGAAAGAGGATGGCAGCCTTGCGATTGCCCTCAAGCGAGAGCCGAGAGCAAGCTTCTTTGACATTAAGCTTCACACAGGCCTTCTCATCGTCCGGGTTTGCCCCTATAGTCATTCCATCTGGGGTGAGGGCCATGGACCCCAGGCCACTCCGATAGAATAAGTCTGCATCCCTGCGTTGCAGCCAGGCAACTTGAAGTACTGCACGCCTTCAAGTGAATCGTATCCCGTTGCTGCGACAACTCAAGGAGCCTGAATACCTGTAATGCTGTCGCTTAAAGCAGAAATTGCCAGCAAAGCGAAGCTCCTCCGCGAGATCAAGTCCCGTTTCTGGTGATCTGCTGTTCTCTAGATCTGAGGATGGCCGCACCTGAGAAGAGTTGTAATGCACTTACAAAAAAATCTGAAAGGATCAAATACAAGAATAATGTAGTAGCAACAATGCTGTTGTAAAAATTGCTTGCCAGGGTCCCAACCTGCTCCATGCCTGAAGTCTTCTACGTGCCTGAGTTAGGAGCTCTGTGGGCGTTTATACGTACTTTAAAAAGTTCAGGTGAACTAAAGGACATGTCTTCTACTGTGCCAGTATTCGAAGATTACAGGTCCACAACTTCTATGGCCCACCGAGAGATGCACAATTTCACGGACGTCCCACTGAGAAGCTACGCTTTCCTGTACGATACTCTAGTAAGGCAATTGCTTCTGCTCTTTCAAAGATTGCATCATTCGACTTCTATTCGAATTCAGAGACTGAGAAAGTGAAGCTTCCTTGGGTGACCTGGCAGACACCACGTGCTTTGCATGCAAAGAAATTGAAGGTCACCTGAGCTACCTAGTATCGCCAATGAAATGAGCTGCCACTTGCTTCGATAGCGTTCTTTACATGTTGATAATACTCAATATAAAATTGCAGCTTTGCACTTTCCATTTAAGCTTGAACTGTGATTAATTTTTATAACTAATCTAAAATCTTTACATGGCATGCATTCCTAGCTTCAAGCTGGTTCAAGTTGGTTCTGGCGAGTCCAACAAATAAAAAGCAGTCACATGAAGCAGAAGAAGGCACAATTCTTGGTCCGACCTGCAGAGTAACTGCTAGGAAGCTTGTAGGCAGG